ATTGTCAGACCGTATATCCGTGTATAACTATTCAAGCATTTTACAATGGCTGAAAAAATCACCATCCAGTCGATAGCGCCATCTGGTCTTCGTACAATCGCGACCCTGGAATATTTCATCTTTCACTTATCTACCTTCATCTTATTTTAGGTAAAGACCCAGAAAAGGACACGGTGACACGAATCTGCCGTTGGACAGGCAAACCCAAATGGTTCCTCTACGAAATCGTCTCAAATAAACGCACTGGCATCGATTGCGATAAATTTGACTATTTTGCGCGCGACTGCGCTAACGTAGGCGTGACCAGCAACTTCGATTATCGCCGCTACTTTGAAAACGTACGAATCCTGCCCATCCATGACCGACTACAAATCTGCGTCCGTGAAAAAGAGGTGTTTAATCTCTACGAGTTGTTTCATACCCGCTGGTCGCTACACCACCGAGTTTACAAACACAAAACGCAAGCGCCGATTGAAGACCTGCTTCTCAAAGCATTCCTAAAAGTCGATAAAATCCTCCGTATTTCTGAAAGCGTTGATGATATGGAACGATACACGGTCTTAACGGATAGCATTATGTATGATATTCTAAGAAATGAAAGCGGCGACCCAAGAATGCTCGAAGCACGAAAGTTATTACTGAAAATCCAGCGACGAGAATTGTATAAGTTTTGTGGCCAGACACAGCCGGGCTCCGAAACAGATTTCCCGAGTGAAAGTGAGATTGTGGATGATTTAGTATCAATTTCAGAAGGTGCTTTAAAGGCGGAGCAAATATTTGTATCGATTGTTAACATCCATTTTGGAATGAAACATAAAGATCCTGTTGATGCGGTCGTGTTTTATAATAAATCCTACCAACCCTTCAAAGTTCGCAAGGAACAAGTCAGCCAGATTCTTCCACAAAAGTTTCATGAGCGTTATGTGCGCGTGTACGCGAAATCACGCGAGGATTCCGTGACAATGCGGCGATGCTTCGAGGCGTGGTGTTCCAACAAGGGTTACCCGGTACCACATATATTAGAGGGTGATTGTACCAGGTATTCTTCGCCCGCACCTAACTTGATTCAAGGGTCAAATCATGGAGCAGTGGCTTCGGTCGTACGCTCATTGAAATTGTGAATTTGACAGCGTTCAAAATTCTTGAGTTTTGAAACGTAAAGTCGTAAACTAAACAGTGATTAACATTGATCAAACGGGAACAATTGTTGCATACTGAAGTGAAGCTTGTTTAAATCAGTGAGATAAACGTATAGTATAGTACGAAATGGCTTTAGTTGTGTGATATACACTAAGGCAAAACAAAACAATTTTCCTCCTAGTTACAATTATCTTATTCGTATAAACAAGGCTGTTGCACTTAATTGTTGATTCATTGCTTTCAAATCTGTGAAAATCGGACTTGTTATTATTAGTCTTCATAATTGTTTCCGAGAGGGAAAAAATGTATATTTATGTATTCACTAATTTGGCGCAGCCAAGCTGCATAGGTTCTATATAAGTTGATATAAAAACATTGATGATTTGTTGTCATTCATAGTTAATCAAGTGAGAGAAATTATAAATAATTTTATCTTTGATGAAATAAAAACATTACATATTTTGTTGTTTCTGAACGCAACTTTGACATAAAAGTAGACATTGTGAATACCTTCAAGTGTTGTTGATTTTGTTACAGGTCTGCAAACAACTTGTTACAAATCTGTTCGCAAGCTGTCGACAATGTGTTCGTACTGGTTGTTCCCAGTTGTTGTAACAAGTTTGGAACAAGCTGTCAACAACAAGTTTGGAACAAACTGTTGTAACAAGTTTGTAACAAGCTTGATGGTATTATCAGACTTGTTACAAGGTTGTTCTAACAAGTCTGAACAGTCATGATATAACAAGAATGTTACAAGGTTGACGACACAAGGTTGTAACAGTATTGTTATATCATGACTGTATCGGACTTGGTGAAACAACCTTGCAACAAGTCTGATAATATCAACAAGCTTGTTACAACTATTAACAAGTTATTCCATGCTTGTTGAAAACTTGGGACAAGCAGTGCGAACACAACTTGTTGACCGCTTGTTGGCAGACTTGCTACAAGATGTGAGATTTTTTGCGTGTTTACGGTAGTGTTTTGTGAGCCGAACTAACTAGTCGTTAAAATACAGAAGTCGACGATCAGGTGAATCAGTGGCTGGCGCCATCCAGTCTACACAACTACGATCAGTGGTGTTCACATCTCTTACCCACAACTATCCATAGTTATACATTAAACACATGATGATAGACAACACCAAATGCTGACGTCATAAACATAGTTAGGCATGTCCACCACGTGAAATATGACGTCACAGCACGCACAAGTTCTGAGACAAACACGTGTCGAAGATTTTGAACAGCGTTCACAGTTATGTTTGAGACTATCATAGATTTCTGAAGACGTCTCATTAAGGCATTCGTAGAATCCCAATCTGTCGTTCCTAGAAAGTTTGAGACGAGAACGGATTTGAAACGAATTTCACTAAGCACTATGATGGAGGTCAACCTGTACAGGGTGTATCAAAAAAAAGGTAATCGAACTTCAGCGCGCTATTATACGTGAATTACTTGGCGTATGAACAATTGGTTTTCATATTCGGAAAGATCAGGCTTTTAGCTATTGAATGGCATGCTTTTCATGACAAGTGGAGAAAAAGTAAGCATGTACGAGGCCGATTAAAAATGTTAGTCAAAATCGCATATTTTCACCTCTGTGCCTAATTAAAACAATGCATAACAAAAGAAAAAGCAATTAATCACGAACGTGTCGTAGCTTAGCTAAGATCTATTCCGACTTAATAATTATTATGAATATGTGTGCAGTTTAATGAAGTGAAATTCATCAACTTAAGTCCTAAAGGGGGTTCATTTTCAATGGTTTTAGACCCAACTCTCAACGGTGAAAATATGTGATTCTGACTAACATTTTTATCGGATTCGTATTTGCTCATTTCTTATCCATTTGGCATGAAGAAGATATCATTCAACAGCTAAAAGCATGATCTTTCCGAATGTGAAAAAATCTCGTTCATACGCAGAGTAATTCAGATACAATAGCGCGCTGAAGTTCGATTACCTTTTTTTTGATACACCCTGTAGTTAACAGAGTGAGAAAATGATGTTCATTCTTTACATATGTAGTAAGTAATCTTGTAATGAATGATTCCAGATATATAGACGAAATTTTGTTCTACACAAGAAGAACGAAATCTATTACCATAGCTGGAAAAAGAATCTTAAAATGAGTAAAATTGCAAAGTTTGGCTGCGAATTGTTGTAAAATGAGGAAAATATAGTCCATTTTCGGCTCGAAAGTGGTTATTTTTACCGCGCGTAAATACAAAAATATATACACAATTTGCTTCACAGGGCTATATTTCTTCATTTTACAACATTTAGCAACCAATCTTTGCAGTTTTACTCATTCTAAGACGCTCTTTCTGGCTGTGGTGTTGGATTTCGTTCTTCTTGCCTTGATCAAAATTTCCGAACTTCGCCACCATCTGATGAAGGATGGTGTTTCCTGATCGTATATGCTTTTTCTACAGGAAGTTCTAACACACTGTACCTGCAGTTCTTAGTGTGATTGTGAAGAAAATCAAAAGAATAACTGGAGTTAGATATTGTAGAGACGCCGCTGTTAAATAATAAAACACGGTGATTATCTGTTAAAAAAAATAAAGTAGATTAGATGAATGTACGTTTAGCGTGCCTATTTTAATCGATAAATGATGATCCTTACTGGACGTTTAGGGAGAACAGTTTAGAACTGATACAGTTATCCAGTAAAAACAAAGTTACTGTAGTTTAGTTCAGGTTTCCTCCTGTAATAACACTGGATCAATAAGAGATGATCCTTACTGGACCTCTAGGAAGAACAGTTTAAAACTGATAGAGCTATCCAGTATAAATAAAGTTAGTTTAAGTTTCCTCCTGTAGTAATACTGGATCAATAAGAGATGATCCTTACTGGACCTCTAGGAAGAACAGTTTAGAACTGATAGAGCTATCCAGTATAAATAAAGTTTTAGATCACAGGATTTCACTCGCCTTCTTTTGCAAAGTGATGTTACTTATTCTTCCCGCTTCTTTCTTCATTCTGACAATTTTCCGATTCGCAACATCCAAGAAAACTTGAAGATGTATTTTGGTGAAGACAAAACGTATGGCACAACAGAACAATATGATTGCAATGCGAAGATGGTCAAACGTCGTGTCAGATATTCTAGCAAAAACAGAACAGCTGAAAAATATACAACCCACAATCAGTGCCGCCGAGAGAGGGAACACAATTCAGGATACTTACGTATAAATATTTCCTCCGCTTCTACCAGTCACGTACTCCCGAACCAGTGGTTTTATCCATAACAGTGTTAGAAAGAGCGGTGCGAAGAAATTGAGATAAAGAAGAACCCTACAGACATAAATAACGAGTTCCAAACTAACTTTATTTATACTGGATAGCTCTATCAGTTCTAAACTGTTCTCTCTAGAGGTCCATGCAGTAAGGATCATCTCTTATTGATCCAGTGTTACTACAAGAGGAAACCTAAACTAAACTAACTTTATTTATACTGGATAGCTCTATCTGTTCTAAACTGTTCTCTCAAGAGGTCTAGTAAGGGTCATCTCTTATTGATCCAGTGTTACTACAGGAGGAAACCTAAACTAAACTAACTTTATTTATACTTGATAGCTCTATCAGTTCTAAACTGTTCTTCCTAGAGGTCTAGTAAGGCTCATCTCTTATTGACCCAGTGGTACTACAGGAAGAAACCTAAACTAAACTAACTTTATTTACACTGGATAGTTCTATCAGTTCTAAACTGTTCTTCCTAGAGGTCCAGTAAGGATCATCTCTTACTGACCCAGTGGTACCACATGAGGAACCTAAACTAAACTAACTTTATTTACACTGGATATCTCTATCAGTTCTAAACTGTTCTTCCTAGAGGTCCAGTAAGGATCATCTCTTACTGACCCAGTGGTACCACATGAGGAACCTAAACTAAACTAACTTTATTTATACTGGATATCTCTATCAGTTCTAAACTGTTCTTCCTAGAGGTCCAGTAAGGATCATCTCTTACTGACCCAGTGGTACCACATGAGGAACCTAAACTAAACTAACTTTATTTATATTAGATATCAGTTCTAAACTGTTCTCAACTAAGGTACTTACATATGGTGCACTTACACTAGAAGTCGATTCGAGTGGAACTTCTCTAAGGAATCCACAAACATATTGGACATTCTAATACCAGGAAAGCCAAGAAACGCTCCCAGGAAACCAGACATAATAGCAAGCATTAGTTTGAAGATCCATATTGGGGCTGCACCTCCTCTGTAAGACAAAAAAGTTAGTTTCAGCTGGGTGCAAGAAATGTCGTGAATGCTACCATGGTTTGTGTTTAAACTAATTAAACAGTTTTTTGTATTTTATACACCATTTATAAATGCTTTCTCATTTCTTTTATATAAATTATATAATCATTTTTATGTAGTTCAGAGACAAACCACGACAGTTTATTGATGCACTTACTCTTTAGAAATTCCTTGTTTCTTCAAGAAGAGTACAGCCTCGTCTGAGAAAAACTCATACCCTGTAAAAGTAAGCGATAAGTTGAAATGTAAGTGACAACTGGACCCCTAGGGAGAACAGTCTAGAACTGATAGAGCTATCCAGTATAAGTTTAGGTTATTAGGTTTATTTAGTTTAGGTTTCCTCCTGTAGTAACACTGGATCAATAAGAGATGATCCTTACTGGACCTCTAGGGAGAACAGATTAGAACTGATATAGCTATCCAGTAAAAACAAAGTTTTGCAGAAGTAAACTACCTGAATCCAAGTTAAATTCCAAGATGGATTCATCAACAACGAGGACGGCCATGGCCAACACGAAAAAGAAAACACCAAATGTAAGAAACACTGACTTCTCTCCTGAATCGTCACTGGACCAGTATGGTGATGTAAGCAAGTACAAAATTCGCCTGGTTTCAATGGTTAAGACATATATAATACTTACACTTTTACAGATAACAGAGAAATTTTGATCTGATTTCCACTACTGGTACTACTACTGTATTAAGGGGCAATTAACCAATCAGATGCATTTGATATAACCAATTAATCAATCATGCATACTATTAAGGCAGACTGGTAGCAGTAGTGGAAGTCAAATCTGGACCTCAAAACACAAAGGAATTCATGAGTGTGAAGAAGCTTGTATATCGGATACAAAATATGCTGATTTACTATCAAAATGATGCGCACAAAAGGATACAAGCAAAAAAAGATAACTAAGAAGTTCCACAGTGGCGTAACACTGATATCATTTTTTAGCATGTTTGGGAAGAGGTAAGCAATTGTCTCCACGACAATGTTGAATATGATTGCACTCAGTGCAAAATCAACCAGCCATTTATACTCGGGATAGAAGTATTGAAATATTAAATCTGTTTCCTCAATCTACAGCAAAGAAATAGACAGGGACATACTAATTGTGAAATAATAAGATAATTATGGTAATAATTATGAAGTTAGGCTTCACTTTATATTCAGTGTGAGTTTGTTCAGAATCATATGCCTTAGTATTTATTCAAAAATAGTATTTTGTTGTTGTTGTGGTGCAGTTGCTTAAGCTGCAACATTCTGCTTTCTGCATGCTCCAGGGCACTACACATAGAAATAAATATATTATTTCTATGGCACTGCATTATAATAGTTGATACTATGTCTGGTTTGTTTATTTTTCACTTTATTTTTCACTGAAAATAATGTTCATTCTTTTCATTATATGTAGTAGTCTTGTATTTGTACGAGCAGTCTTGCCTTTGGAGACATATTTGTAAATAGAATTAAGATGTACCTTAATGTTCTTGATTGTATAAGTCAGGGGCCGCAGAACCGAGGGGGGGCAATGGGAGGTGGCAAATGCCCCATTTAGAAAACGAAAAAAGTATTTCTTGAATAAACGCCCTCTTTTTCTGGAAAGAAAATGCCCTTTTCGCAGTAGTATTAGTAAAGACTCTGTAAAGGCCATTTCCGACATTATAGAGACTCCATATTTTCAAAAATTTTCGTTCAGCTCGTGAACGTCATAAAATCGTTTGATTTTGATCATATACAAAAGTGCCCCTTTTGCAGTGCTGGAAAATGTCCGGCAGCACCAGCAGCACCGCTGCCAGGAAATGTTTAACAAAATATCTTCGCAGGAAATTTTCTTGCACCTTGCAGGAAATATTTTTTCATGCCATATAATTTACTTATTGTTTTATAAAAATTCCAAATTAAGCATTTTGCAAGTCGAGGTGTGCGCCATCATAGTCCACACGTTCTCTGAAATCTACATAGTTACGACGTTTTATAGTTGACTTACACAGGAAATTTTAATTTTTGAATTTTGCTGCCAGGAAGATAAATATATTTTCTAGGCCTGCCCTTTGGTCAATGCCCCTCCACTTTCAAAATGCTTTCGCGGCCTCTGGTATAAGTATCAAAAAGTCTGAAGTAATTACCACCAACACTGAACTCATCTATATACTGGGACAATACAATGTACAAAATGTCTTAATTAAACATGGAAATATGGAATACCTTAGCAGTTTTGAGTTCAAGGTTGACATTACATGGTATCGTAAATGGTTCAATGACTTTAAAATCCTTTACTGCCTCTCCATTTGCTGCAGTTTTTCTGGAAAATATGGTAGAGAACAATATATACTGTATTACTATATTTGTTATTTTGTCAGCTATATTTTCTAATGCCTTGTCCCTTTAATATTTACCTTGAATCTGAACGTCTAGATTTATTAGATTTTGCATGAGATTTTCCAACTAATTTTTTCAATTCTTCATCTGTTGGATAAAGATATCTTGTCAACCTTGATGAGAACATATTGTGTCAATGCCAGTCAGAGTCATCTCTTATTCATCAAATATTACAGTAACTACAAAATATTACTGAATCCGCAATAATAAAATCAGAAAACAGCAGATTGAGGACCTGTTCATATGGGCAAAAGTTATCCTGGTCAATGAGAAGACTTTTCAACTAGCCAAATACTTTTGTTCTGTTCACATGGAGAAACGTTATCCCGCTTACCAGGAAAAGTTTCCGGCTGTCAGACGTAGCACTGAACATCAATTGAATTGAAAAGTTGCTGACACAACAGAAAGTTATCCTGCTAAGCAGGAAAGTTGAGTTCATATGAGAAAAACATTATCCCGGTCACCAAGATCTTGCCTGTCAACAAGCGAGATCTCAGTACACAGGAAAAGTTTTGTCTCATATGAACGCAGTGTAACTTTTCATATTATTTTCATTCATAACAAGGCGAGATCTTGCTTGTAAACTTGTCGAAAAGTTTTCTTGCCAACCGGGATAACTTTTGCCCATATGAACAGGACCTAAGAGGGATTCAACTACATGAAACAAACAAGTAAAACTTCAACGTTTCAAGTGAAGGCCCTTTGTTGCATGGGAAGTTAGTAGCGATATAGTAATGGCCTCCACTAGCTCAAAACATTGGAGCTTTAGCTCTATTAATTTTCACACAATTGAATCTCTCTTGATCCACAGCTCTCTAAGAATGAGATTGACAATATTTACCCACTGCATAAGATCCACGTTGCTAACGACATATGTGGAGAAATCTTGTGCAGAAACATTGCAATCACAAGTGTGAGCACAACCTGAATTCCAAACAAAGCCTGAAAACAAACAATCGTCAAATTATGTCACACAGAGCATATTATATAAGAAACAAATTATGACCGTGAGATTTAACCAAAATTAAATCTCATGGTCAAAGAAGAAGCGGAACCGCTGCCACGCAAAGATTCGTTGTCAAAATGCTGCTGCCATGTTCCTATATCCAACGCAGTCATTCACCCCCCTCAAAGACTACCATTTTTAATATTCTCAGGCGGTTAAAACTCTTTCATAAGTAATAAGCACACTGGCTTACGACCATGGCGACACGCCGACAGCATTGCAATGGTTATACCAAAATCATAGGTAAAACCAAAAATTCGACCCTCTGTATGTATCTATTATGTGCAAGTGTTGCAACACAGATTGTGCCATGTGTATATTTATAGTGTTCCGAAACGCACATGGCAATCAATTATACATATCATTCATTCATGTCCAGACAAGTGGAAAGGTTTTAGCTATCATCGTGTTGCTTAATACTCTTTCCTAAACTAGACATTATCATGTTTAAATGTGTGCACACATTGTGGCGTAATATCTGCACTTCATCACCAGATTGTGTGACTTGTGTCATGCACGGTATTGCACGCTAGAAGGTAGACAAAAATCCCATGTAATTCGAAACAAGGTTAAATCCTATCTATCCTCAAGAAATATGTAATAGATACAAACTAGATCTCACCATTTTTAAAGCGATCCAACAGCAAACAAGATAAAATTTCTAAACTATTTTCCTTCGATTAAATATATAAACTTCCATGTTTTGATACCCCATGGTATATATCTGTGGTATATATTGTTATTCATGTACAATATCATATAGTATCATGTAGTATCATATAACATACCACACTATCACATAGTATCATATAATATTATATTTTCTCATCAACTATCCTAATAGACTGCTCCCGGTCCCTCCTTTCCACGAGCGGAGAGGACTGAAATCTGGTGTACTTTTTAGCCACAGACCGTCGTGGCCAAAAAGTGTACTTAAATCTGGTATACTGTTTAGCCACAGACCCCCGTGGCCAAAAAGTATACTAAAATCTCGTATACTTTTTAGTCACAGACCGTCGTGGCCAAAAAGTATACTTAAATCTGGTATACTTTTTAGCCACAGACCCCCGTGGCCAAAAAGTATACTTAAATCTGGTATACTTTTTAGCCACAAACCCCCGTGGCCAAAAAGTATACTTAAATCTGGTATACTTTTTAGCCACAGACCGCCGTGGCTAAAAAGTATACTGAAATCTGGTATACTTTTTAGCCACAGACCCCCGTGGCCAAAAAGTATACTTAAATCTTGTATACTTTTTAGCCACAGACCCCCGTGGCCAAAAAGTATACTGAAATCTGGCAAACTTTTTAGTAACAGACCGTCCTGGCCAAAAAGTGTACTGAAATCTTGTATACTTTTTAGCCACAGACGCCCGTGGCCAAAAAGTATACTGAAATCTGGTAAACTTTTTAGTAACAGACCGTCCTGGCCAAAAAGTGTACTGAAATCTTGTATACTTTTTAGCCACAGACGCCCGTGGCCAAAAAGTATACTGAAATCTGGTAACTTTTTAGCCACAGACCGTCGCGGCTAAAAAGTATACTGAAATCTGGTACACTTTTTAGCCACAGACCCCCGTGGCCAAAAACTATACTTAAATCTGGTATACTTTTTAGCCACAGACTGTCGTGGCCAAAAACTATACTAAAATCTCGTATACTTTTTAGCCACAGACTGTCGTGGCTAAAAAGTATACTGAAATCTGGTATACTTTTTAGCCACAGACCCCCGTGGCCAAAAAGTATACTTAAATCTGGTATACTTTTTAGCCACAGACTTCGTGGCCAAAAGGTATACTGAAATCTTGTATACTTTTTAGCCACAGACGCCCGTGGCCAAAAAGTATACTAAAATCTCGTATACTTTTTAGCCACAGACCGTCGCGGCTAAAAAGTATACTGAAATCTGGTACACTTTTTATCCACAGACCCACGTGGCAAAAACTGAAATCTTGTATACTTGTTACTGAAGTCTTGTATACTTTTTAGCCACAGATCCCCGTGGCCAAAAAGTATACTTAAATCTGGTATACTTTTTAGCCACAGACTTCGTGGCTAAAAAGTATACTGAAATCAGGTATACTTTTTAGCCACAGACCCCCATGGCCAAAAAGTGTATTTAAATATGGTATACTTTTTACCCCCAGACCCCCGTGGCCAAAAAGTATACTAAAATCTCGTATACTTTCTAGCCACAGACTGTCGTGGCTAAAAAGTATACTGAAATCTGGTATACTTTTTAGCCACAGACCCCCATGGCCAAAAAGTGTACTTAAATCGGGTATACTTTTTAGCCACAGACCCCCGTGGCCAAAAAGTATACTGAAATCTGGTAAACTTTTTAGTAACAGACCGTCCTGGCCAAAAAGTGTACTGAAATCTTGCATACTTTTTAGCCACAGACGCCCGTGGCCAAAAAGTATACTTAAATCTGGTAACTTTTTAGCCACAGACCGTCGCGGCTAAAAAGTATACTGAAATCTGGTACACTTTTAGCCACAGACCCACGTGGCAAAAACTGAAATCTTGTATACTTGTTACTGAAGTCTTGTATACGTTTTAACCACAGACGCCCGTGGCCAAAAACTATACTAAAATCTGGTATACTTTTTAGCCACAGACCCCCGTGGCCAAAAAGTGTACTGAAATCTGGTATACTTTTTAGCCACAGACCCCCGTGGCCAAAAAGTATACTTAAATCTGGTATACTTTTTAGCCACAGACCCCCATGGCCAAAAAGTGTACTGAAATCTGGTATACTTTTTAGCCACAGACCCCCATGGCCAAAAAGTGTACTGAAATCTGGTATACTTTTTAGCCACAGACCCCCATGGCCAAAAAGTGTACTGAAATCTGGTATACTTTTTAGCCACAGACCCCCGTGGCCAAAAAGTATACTGAAATCTTGTCTACTTTTTAGCCACAGACCGTCGTGGCCAAAAAGTTTACTGAAATCTTGTATACTTTTTAGCCACAGACCGTCATGGCTAAAAAGTATACTTAAATCTGGTATACTTTTTAGCCACAGACTGTCGTGGCTAAAAAGTATACTGAAATCTGGCCAGTATACTTTTTAGCCACAGACACCCGTGGCCAAAAATTTCACTGGGATCTTTTATACTTTTTAGCCACAGACACCCGTGGCCAAAAAGTATACTTAAATCTGGTATGCTTTTTAGTCACAGACCGTCGTCGCTAAAAAATATAATGAAATCTGCCATACTTTTTAGCCACAGCCACCCGTGGCCAAAAGTGTACTGAAATCTTGAATACTTCTTAGCCACACACCCCCGTGGCCAAAAAGTATAGTTAAATCTGGTATACTTTTTAGCCACAGACCGTCGTGGCTAGCCATTTCTTATATCAAAATGCGCTTTGAAATTCGCCTGTGGCAAAATTTCGGCACCAATGGGCAGTTCCAAACCATCCTAAGTCGATTTATATCAAATAATGTTTGTAAGTCAAGTTTTGGTCGAAATTTTCCAAAAGAAACTCAGCCTACTTGACTCAAGAATCCGGGTAGCGGGTTAGCGTAGTACAAAGTATAACGAAGTACGGGTTAGCATTTCTTATATCAAAGAGCGCTTTAAAATTCCCCTACGCCGAAACTTTCCGCATCAATATGCATTTTGAACCTTTGTAAGACGATTTAGATCGAATTTTTTTTTTTCGATTTCCCCGAAATTTTCTAAGTCAAACTTTGGTTGAAATTTTCTAAGACAAGCTCTGTTTAGTTGAGTCAAGAATCCGGGTAGCGGGTTAGCGTAGTACAAACTATAATGAAGGACGGGTTAGCATTTCTTATATCAAAATGCGCTTTAAAATTCCCCTATGCCGAAACAGTCTACATCAATATGCATTTTGAACCTTTGTAAGTCGATTTAGATTGAAATTTTTTTTTCGATTTGGCCGAAATTTTCTAAGTCTGACCCTGGTTTATAAATGCAGCACTCGTATTCCGATAGGAACTTCTAGTTTCTAGTTGATTCGATCAAGAATCCGGGTAGCGGGTTAGCGTAGTACAAAGTATAATAAAGGACGGGTTAGCATTTCTTATATCAAAATGAGCTTTAAAATTCCCCTGTGCCAAAACTTTCTCCACAAATAAGTAGTTCTACACCATCCCAAGTCGATTTATATCAAGAAATGTTTGTAAGTCAAACTTTGGTCGAAATTTTTCAAGAGAAACTCAGCCTACTTGACTCTAGAATCCGGGTAGCGGGTTAGCGTAGTACAAAGTATAATGCAGGACGGGTTAGCATTTCTTATATCAAAATGCGCTTTAAAATTCCCCTGTGCTAAAACTTTCTGCACAAATAAGTAGTTCTACACCATCCCAAGTCGATTTATATCAAGAAATGCATTGTAAGTCAAAATTTGGTCGAAATTTTTCAAGAGAAACTCAGCCTACTTGACTCTAGAATCCGGGTAGCGGGTTAGCGTAGTACAAAGTATAATGCAGGACGGGTTAGCATTTCTTATATCAAAATGCGCTTTAAAATTCCCCTGTGCTAAAACTTTCTGCACAAATAAGTAGTTCTACACCATCCCAAGTCGATTTATATCAAGAAATGTTTGTCAGTCAAACTTTGGTCGAAATTTTTCAAGAGAAACTCAGCCTACTTGACTCTAGAATCCGGGTAGCGGGTTAGCGTAGTACAAAGTATAATGCAGGACGGGTTAGCATTTCTTATATCAAAATGCGCTTTAAAATTCCCCTGTGCTAAAACTTTCTTCACAAATAAGTAGTTCTACACCATCCCAAGTCGATTTATATCAAGAAATGTTTGTCAGTCAAACTTTGGTCGAAATTTTTCAAGAGAAACTCAGCCTACTTGACTCTAGAATCCGGGTAGCGGGTTAGCGTAGTACGAAGTATATTGCAGGACGGGTTAGCATTTCTTATATCAAAATGCGCTTTAAAATTCCCCTATGCCGAAACTTTCCCATCAATATGCGTTTTGAACCTTTCTTAGTCGATTTATGACGAAATTTTTTTTTCGATTTGCCCGAAATTTTCTGAGTTAAACTTTGGTTGAAATTTTCTAAGACAAGCTCTGCTTAGTTGAGTCAAGAATCTGGGTAGCGGGTTAGCGTAGTACAAAGAATAATGAAGGACGGATTAGCAATTCTTATATCAAAATGCGCTTTAAAACTTCCATGTGCCAAAACTTTCAGCATCAATATGCGTTTTGAAACTTTCTAAGTCGATCTAGATCGAAAATTATTTTTCGATTTCCCCGAAATTTTCAAAGTCTGACTTTGGTTTATGAGCAGGTCACAACAATCTACTTTTGTTTTTAATTTTGCAAGAATTTCAGATCGTCCACTGATGGCTTAATGGTAGGTCGTTTGGCCTGTCTCGATAAACATTTGAGTTCAAATCCAGTTGAACTCGTGTTTTATAGCGGACTCACAATATTTTTTCCCTTTATTTATTCTAGCTATTTTTTATTCATTTTATACCTCTATGTGCAAAATCCGTTTACAAGTATAAGGAAATATTGCCATGTTGAACCTAGCCCGAAGAGATTAAGCTAATCATTCTATATTGTTTAATTTCAAAAGAATTTAGTTAATAGTTGATTCGATTACGAAGCCGGCGAATGGCTAAGCGTAGTAGAAAGTGTGTTAAAACACGGCTAAGCATTTGTTATATTAAAATGCGCTTTAAAATTCCCCTATTCCCAAACTTTCCGCATCAATATGCATTTTGAACTTTTGTAAGTCGATTTAGATCAAAAAATTTTTTCGATTTGCACGAAATTTTCTAAGTCTGACTCTGGTTTATAAAGGTAGCACTTGTCTTGCTATAGGAACTTCTAGTATCTAGTTGAATCGATCAAGAATCCGGGTAGCGGGTTAGCGTAGTACAAAATATAATAAAGGACGGGTTAGCATTTCTTATGTTAAAATGCGCTTTAAAATTTCCCTGTGCCAAAAATTTCTGCACAAATAAGTAGTTGTACACCATCCCAAGTCGATTTAAATAAAAAAATGTTTGTAACTCAAACTTTGGTCGAAAATTTTCAAGAGAAACGCAGCCTACTTGACTCTAGAATCCGGGTAGCGGGTTAGCGTAGTACAAAGTATAATAAAGGACGGGTTAGCATTTCTTATATCAAAATGCGCTTTAAAATTCCCCTGTGCTAAAACTTTCTGCACAAATAAGTAGTTCTACACCATTCCAAGTCGATTTATATCAAGAAATGCATTGTAAGTCAAAATTTCGTCGACATTTTTCAAGAGAAACTCAGCCTACTTGACTCTAGAATCCGGGTAGCGGGTTAGCGTAGTACAAAGTATAATGCAGGACGGGTTAGCATTTCTTATATCAAAATGCGCTTTAAAATTTCCCTGTGCTAAAACTTTCTGCACAAATAAGTAGTTGTACACCATCCCAAGTCGATTTATATCAAGAAATGCATTGTAAGTCAAAATTTCGTCGAAATTTTTCAAGAGAAACTCAGCCTACTTGACTCTAGAATCCGGGTAGCGGGTTAGCGTAGTACAAAGTATAATGCAGGACGGGTTAGCATTTCTTATATCAAAATGCGCTTTAAAATTTCCCTGTGCTAAAATTTTCTGCATAAATAAGTAGTTCTACACCATCCCAAGTCGATTTATATCAAGAAATGTTTGTCAGTCAAACTTTGGTCGAAATTTTTCAAGAGAAACTCAGCCTACTTGACTCTAGAATCCGTGTAGCGGGTTAGCGTAGTACGAAGTATATCGCAGGACGGGTTACCATTTCTTATATCAAAATGCACTTTAAAATTCTCCTATGCCAAAACTTTCCCATCAATATGCGTTTTGAACCTTTCTTAGTCGATTTATGACGAAATTTTTTTTTCGATTTGCCCGAAATTTTCTGAGTTAAACTTTGGTTGAAATTTTCTAAGACAAGCTCTGCTTAGTTGAGTCAAGAATCTGGGTAGCGGGTTAGCGTAGTACAAAGAATAATGAAGGACGGATTAGCAATTCTTATATAAAAATGCGCTTTAAAACTTCCATGTGCCAAAACTTTCAGCATCAATATGCGTTTTGAAACTTTCTAAGTCGATCTAGATCGAAAATTATTTTTCGATTTCCCCGAAATTTTCAAAGTCTGACTTTGGTTTATGAGCAGGTCACAACAATCTACTTTTGTTTTTAATTTTGCAAGAATTTCAGATCGTCCACTGATGGCTTAGTGGTAGTTCGTTTGGCCTGTCGCGATAAACATTTGAGTTCAAATTCAATTGAACTCTTGTTTTGTAGCGTACTCCCAATATTTTTTCCTTTATTTATTCTGGCTATTTTTT